CCTGATGGTGACAACAGTATACAATGTGTTTTGAAATGGCCACTTGCAGTCTCCAATGGAAGGCTGTGTGGGAATGTGGGAGCACAATTAAAAGACATGTACAGAGTGTTGTCACTTCATTACAGAAAGTGGTTGAACAAGGACCCTAATGGCAGGATCACCGGATAATACAGTATTTTAATGAAAGGTGCAGATTTATAAATATTAAAAATTATTTTTGAAGAAACATTAACATGTTAAAGATTTTATTTGCAGATAGTATAATTTTGCATAACCTTCAATCAACATATTCCCTGGATCAGATATGACCAGTGTATAGAAATCAGGAATGTCACCTAAAAATTAAGACCGTTTATATTAATGGTAAAACAAGGGTCTGATTTGTGTTCAACATTTAACAGGGTTTTAGCGGGCACCTAAACACACATTCACAATAGAGCACAACTGCTCTAAACGTCTCAATATGGTAGACACTTACACATACTGGGTATGTGAAGTGCTAAAAATAATAGGAGAAATATGAAATTAGGCTTCATAAATAATATTATGACATGACTAATCCTTCTTTAAAGTCACACTAAACTCCGGAGTTAAATCTTAAAAACGCATTCATGTACCTTAACTATTAACAAAAATGTATCTTTTTTGTGTATCACTCGGCTGTAGATCCTCAAATCATCTCTGAATTGCTGCTGACAATGTGCTTCCTTCTGGAGGGTGGCTACTTTTGTTCCCCATGGTCCCTGTGCGTGTTGTAAAGTAGCCACCGCTCCAAGCTCACTTCCATGATGGACTACAAACTCAGGTTTAGTTTACTCATTTGTATTGAGATTGTAGTCACAGTAGTGACCCTGAAGCAGTGGCTACTTTACAATACACACAGGGACCATGGAGAACAAAAGTAGCCCCTCTCCAGAAGGAAGGACTCAATTCAGAGATGATTTGAGGATCTACAGCTGAGTGATACACAAATAAGATACATTTTTGTTAATAGTTAAGGTACTTGAATGCATTTTTAAGATTAAAAGGAGAACTATGAGGTGAGTGATTTCCACTCATCCTCATAGTAGGAACCTACCTGTGACAAAGAAGCTGTCACAGGTCGGCTGTATCGATCGGGTAGTGAGCAGAAACATGCACCGATCCGCTCACTTCATGATCGTCTCCCTGCAGTGAGCAGTGACTGTCCATCACAACTCCCCGCATTGATTTCCCCCTCCCCTCTCCAATCCTCCAGCACTGAGTGGAGGAATGAACGAGGAAGGGGGCGGGCACAGCTGGCTCTGCCTCTAGATAGGCAGAGCCAGCTGTCACTCACGCAGCTAGGTGGATCTCGACAGTATTGTCCGGCTCCATCCCGGCTTTGGTTAACTGGAGGAGGTTAGTATATGTCCTCCCGTGACACTAAAGAGAACTATGGGGAAAAACACTTACCCCATAGTTCTCTTTTAACTCCTGCGTTTAGCATCACTTTAAGTTCATATTGTTTACGCAGTTGTCACAAACTTATAGCTAATAAAACAATACATGATGGTTCCTGATTGGCAGCCAAGGGAAACTGTATTGTTGTTTGCAATGCAGAATATATTACTTAACGCATAGGTAAAGTAAAAGCTATGTGTTTTACCTTAGATGATTGAAAAACTGATCCGAGATATGATTTTGGATCGGTCTGTGGATTTTTTCTTGAGTACACCCAGTCATGTATTGCATAAGCCATTGCATAAGTAGCTCTGTAAATAGCATAAGTTAACCTAAAGTTGTTGACATCAAAAATAGATTCATATGATGTCATTGTTTCTTTTCCAGTGCAATTCTTTGCATATCCCAGTTTGTCTCTAAATGTGGTCTCATTTATGGGTAAACAACGAAAGGCATCTCGCCACACTGCGGCGGTGAATATGTCATCTGGGAAGGTGAGCGGGTTAGCACTATAGATGAATTCTTTTAATCCTGGAATTTCTCCTTTGTGAATAGCAAATGCGAGTGAACCATTAAATGAGGTTAAATAGGAGTCCTGTGTGACCACGGACAGTGTGGATGGTATAATCCACACTTTTCCGGGTGTGGAAAACTGAAGACTGTACATAAAGTCAGTAAATGCCACGCCAGTAAAGAAAGCAAGTACAACATTTGCAGATGAGTATTTTACAGCATCCATTGCTGGGGCTGCGCTGTTGAGCTGTATGTTTGCTATGACTTGAAAGTAGGCGATACAGATTCCATTTTTAATGAGTAGGTTTTTAATGTTATTACTCCCTCTGAGGTTATTTTCATCATCGGTGGTAATGATTCCAACCCATGTCCAGCCAAAATATTTGACGAGCTGTACAAAACCATCATACTGACTTTGTTCAGTTGGCACAGTCCGAAATAAAGATGGATATATGGAAGTATCACCTATATCTGAATCCTGAGCTCCATAGCTAACCTAAAAGCAATGGAAGTATGTTAGATGATGGAAAATGCAATGGGACACAGAGAATGCATGTCTAGTTTATTATATCTGGGAAACTCAGATGGGAAATTCTGGTGGTGTTATTATGAATGACAGAGCCCTTTGGCTTTCCAACGTACATCCGAAAAGTGACTCTGTTGCTATCATAACAAAACTTAGTGAGAGGAACCCTGTAAAAGAATAGGCTGAACACTTACATGGCCAGTAGGCGCATGGGAAATCTTTGGACTCTTGCAGAGCTAAAGGTACTGCTGCTATCAGATGCTGCTGGGTGTGAGATTGAGAGTCCCCTGCCATGTCCTGTGGTTTGTCTCACTGGCCCCTATCTCAGCACTGTGTTTTTTAGTGACATAGGCCAGAGGGAGGAACCCCAGTGTACGAAAGTGGACACACTGTGCATCCCAAATGAAAGGGGTGTCTGAAGGTCTTGAAGATTTCCTGAGTTTTCTGACAGGTTTTTACAGGGTTGAAATTTTAATCATAGCAGGTGGGTGGCTTAAATGAAATCTCACTGCTATGTTATATCTAAAAATGATAACTAACAATGCTGTTTTCTGGATACTTTCATGGTAATCAGTCAGAGGTGCCGGAACTATAAATGGTTTTTTTTTTTTAATCCTAACGTTTTTGCTAAATGCTGTTGCAATGCCTTTAAGGATACCGCTGCATGAGTGAACAAATGTTATATTTTACTATCACTTACTTTCTGCTTTTTAGCAAATAATAGCACATTTAGCTCTAATCACCTTCCTATTGTTATCAGTCCAAGTTTAACTCATTTCTCACATATGTATAGGTAGATTTGCAAAGCGCAGTAGATTAACATGATAAGAAAACCCATCCTGTGCTAAGTTGTCATATTTGCTCAAATCCTAGTGGTATCTTAAGATCTTTTTAGGCCCTATTGTCACATGTGCTCCCTGGTAATGTGCAGAGAATCATGAGTTTTACTGTGCATTACTGATCTCCAATGCAGTGCGTTGTGGCGCCATTCATTTTAAATGGCAGCTTAATGCACATTGGCAGTACACCACAACACCACAACACACCGACGTAAACCATCTGAAAGCAGTGGTGCGACACGTTGAAAAAAGTAAAATTTTTCATGCATTGATGTGCAAAGTTTAAAATGAATAGTCTGCGTGCATCAAAAACAAACTCCCCCCTGTGAAGAAAAAAAGTGAACCGTGAAATCACAGCACACAAAAACGTGCACAAGGGTGCTTGGTCCTTCAATAAAGAAGGGAACTCGATTCCCGACCCCCGGGGCGCAAGGCTCCTGACAGGGGTTGAGACTGTTGGTCCACCAACCCGAAGGCCGGTGGACCCCGATCCTTTGGGGACCTGCCGAAACAGGTCCCACACAGTACTAAGTAGGGGGCTCTCCCGAAGAGAGACCCCCCCTGGGTTGGGAGGAGACAGAGAACCCTATATTAGGGCACAGAATCTCCTCCCCGAAGGAACCTGCACCCGCTGCATCTGTGGGTCAAAACGCTTTTTAAAAAAGCCAATCGTGCATCGTGCATTAAGTGCAATAAATAATACTAAAGTGCCAGTGCACCACGCTGACAGGCCTTAATGCACAAAAAATGCCTTGCTTTAATGCAACAGTCTGGCCTTAATCTTTGCAGTTGTGGGCTATGATCTACTAATACTAAAGTTTACACCTTATACCTACTTGTGGCAGATTATAGACCCCAGAAATCTTGGCCATGATTTTGGTTGAAGAGGAGAGCATATGTCCAACGATTCCAGCCAAGGCACCCCGCTTGGCACACTGGTAATTTGGAACAGCATTTTGTGAGCCTGTCAGTACTTTCAAAATGCTTTCCACGGCCTTGCTTTCATATGCGCATGAATCGAAAATGTCAAATCCGAGTGTGACGTTAGGAAGCACAGAAGGATTTTTGTTTATTTCCTCTATGGCATACATAAATGCCAGGCTATGCCTGTAGTTCTGAAAGACTAGTCTGAAAATAAAAAAATTTAATGATTTATGATACTAATAATGCACAGTTCACATTTTGTACAAAACATATATTTAAAAAAATAGTAGTATCTCTCTATACAATCAACTTTAGATTTACCGAAACTGTTTCTGTGAAATTCAGATGGGAAGTTCCAGTTCCCAGAGGGCTTATCTAAACTATTAAATCAATTTGTATCCAAACAGGCAGGCCCTTGCACTATATACTTGTTAGTAAACCTAAAGGAGATTGTACAACCAGAATGACCGGAGTGAACTCTTCATAGCTGAGAACTTTGCCAATGTATTTTCTAATAACACATTAAACATACTTTCTTTGAATTGATAAATGGCGGCATTCATTTTTAAAGAGGTAACAACAATGATCTCTACAAGCCCTCAAAATTTCACTCTGTTCGTCAGCAGGTCTCCAGTCTCCCTCGAATTGTCAATAGTCTGTAAAAATACTTCTGTGGCTGTCATCATAATTCAGACTAGCAAGCAGCCAGTGAAGTGTCCACACCCGGCATGCATAAACCTGTCCAGGGGTCTGGGACTAATTGTGGTCGGCCTGGAAGTCCCTGGCCCAGAGTCCTATGATCTGCAAAGAGGTTACTCTGGTCATTCTGTCTACAAACTTGCCGTGGCATTCACACACTGTGCCTGATGGGAAGTTTACATTGCTCTTTATTAGTCTGCTAAATCCTGGTCCCCCAGCTGCCCGGAGTTAATTTTATCAATCTAACCCTTCAGTTAGTGACAATTTCTGGCTTTTTTTTTGGAGTCTAAAATTGCAGAAGCAGATATTGCTTTTTAAGTACATTTACTACAGCTTGCCTGGCTCTGTGTGATTTAGTGAGGGTAGGATGCAGTGACAAGGCCTCTTTAAAACTTTTACTGGAAAATGTGTCTTTTTTTTTTGCTTAGCTTAGAAAAAAATGAAATTTTTATTTAAGAAACTTGCAGCATCTTTAGGTATATTTAAAGTCAGAGATTATTTCTTTTTTTTTACAACCCCAATTCCAAAAAAGTTGGGACGCTGTGTAAAATCTACAGAAAAACAAGGTGCAATGATTTGCAAATCTCATAAACTCATATATTGTTTACAATAGAAAACAGAAAACATATTAAATGTTTAAAATTAGAAAATGTACCATTTTAAGAAAAAAAATATGGTAATTTTGAAATCGATGACAGCAACATAACTAAAAAAAATGGTTTAGCATCCCCTCTTCTTTTAACAACACTCTGTAAACGTCTGGGAACTGAGGAGACCAGTTGCTGGAGTTTTGGGAGAGGAATGTTGTCCCTTCTTGCCTGATTGAGGATTCTAACTGCTCAACAGTCCTGTCATATTTTTCATTTCAAGATATTTTCAGTTATTGAAAGGTCTGGATTACAAACAGGCCAGTTAAGCACCTGGACTCTTCTACAACGAAGCCATGCTGTTGTCATAGATGCAGTACGGTATGTGGTTTAGCATTGTCCTGCTGCATTATGCAAGGCCTTCCCTGAAAAAGTTGTCATCTGGATGGGAGCGTATGCTGCTCTAAACCCTGGATATATCTTTCAGCAATGATGGTGCCTTTCAGGATGTGCAAGCTGCCCATTCTGGTACTGACAGCTTGGTGCCAGATAGCACAGCATACCTTCAGAGTCCAGGTCTCGATGGGACAGGGCTATTTTGGCAGAAAAAGGGGATTAGAGAGCTGCAGCCTTAATAATTACTGGATATAAATAAAAAGTGATCATAAAACTTAATTTACCATAAATTAACATGTAAGGCTGTTTCTCAAAGAAAATTAATGTTTATGTGCCTGATAAAGAAAAATGGGTATGAGATTGTATGTAATTAGGTTTTAGTTTCAGATCTGCTCCTAATGTGCACATTCTGCCAATTGTCACTAATATTTAATATATGGAGGACTGTTATTTTTTCTTTTTTATAAATGTTTCCCACATGTATTATTCTCATTTCATTTATCTGTCCTAGCCCTGATAAAAGATGATTTTCTAGCTCCCAAAACGCTTCAGCTGCCTTTTGCATTCCTGTTATCACTTTTGGAAATAGTAGAGATCTTTTGACTGATGTTTATTTGGCACTATTTTTGGCTTAACTACATAGGAATTTCCAAATTTGGGTCCACTCAATTATTTAGGGATTCCTGCTTTGTGGAGAGCTGCAAAGCCCAAGGCTCAATTAATTACTTTTTTACAGGTTAAAGGTTGTTGTCTAGCACCTCGCCTCTACCTTTGCTTGATCAATAAAAACCTAGCAGGGGTTCTATGCTTCCTACCCATCCAAATTAAAAAAAGTGCCTTAGATACTATTGAACATACCTGTCTGATCTTGCCCTTAGCAGAAAGTCTATCTATATGTGGAGTAATTAATCCAGGAAAAGAATGTGACTGTCTTTCATAAAAAGCAGAAAGAAATGTATTGTACTGTATTGTATTGTACTGTACTGTATTTTTCCAGATTTGAAGATAAATTGTAAAGTGCTTCAATGGGGTTTGGGTTGCCTTTCCCTGAAACAGTACTGGAGGTTATAGGAAAAAGACTAGAATGAATGGTTTAGAGATCCTCTTCCCACCCTTAAAGCCTTTCTAAATCCAAAAGCAAAAATGTAATATATTGCAGCCAAACAATACTTAAATATAGTGACGACATTCGTTTTTTTTTAGCCCTTGTTTCATTTATTTTCACCAGGTAAACCGACCAGTAAGTCGGCAATTTTCAACTTCCTGTTTTGATTTGGAAAGAGTACAGGGCATTGATAGAGTCCTTTACAAATGTAAGATGTCACTGGGGGGCTCGGTATGTCAATCCTAGATTACAGTGAAGAGTATACAGTATTTAAAGTATGTCTAACGCCCAATTTATTTTTCTTTTGAATAAAGTAAAAAACAGGAGAGGAATAGAATAAGATTGCAGTGTTGTTGCTAAAGCTTCATCCTGTACACAGATAACACTTATTGCTTATGATGCAAAATCAGAGTAGTAGCTACATTCCTCAGCCTACAGGCATAATCTGAACTAGGACTTCTACAGATGCCTCATGGAATATGCCAGACACATGAGCCTGAAAGGTTTCTCTAGGTAATAAATACACAGTTTTAATTAATTCTATGGAGATATCAAGAAAAAAGAGACAAGCATTCATGAGTCAGGTTCAGAGCAGCCCCCCTCCCTCAGGGCCATGGGTCCAGTAGCACTTGCTGCTTTCTCTACTCTTGTTGCTTCACCACTAAATTCAATACTGCTTTTGGCACGTTACAAGAGGAATATGTGTATCTGATCCTCGTAGCTGACAGGTAGCACTGCACTTCACTTTTATTCTTTTCTTTTTCTCTTATTTTAATTTGTAAAGGGTTGAAAGAGTGGCAGTTGCATGAGTGCTGACACAAAATTAAAAATGGATAACATGCTCTGTAGTCTTTACACAACTATTCCAACTAAAGGTCCCCACACACCTTACGATTATCGTACGATAATCGTATGCGATGGACTTTCCGTCCGATAATCACAAGGTGTGTGGGGACCTTAAAGTGACATTAAACCCTCAGATTTTTTTACATAAAACAATAGTGTAATGTGTGCCTTACTGTAATCCATGGTTGTTTCCCTTCTCTTTGCTCCTCTTCCTTTTAAATATGTATCTGTTCTCATGCTTGGAGAGAACTTCCCTTTTCAGCAGACTGCCTTGTCTCACACGGTGTCTGTGTATAGGCTGTAACCTGAGCCAGCACTACAGGAAGAGGCCCTGAGCTGAAAAGGGAAGTTCTCTCCAAGCATGAGAACAGATACATATTTAAAAGGAAGAGCAGCTAAGTTCCTCTTCCCACCCTTAAAGCCTTTCTAAATCCAAAAGCAAAAATGTAATATATTGCAGCCAAACAATACTTAAATATAGTGACGACATTCGTTTTTTTTTAGCCCTTGTTTCATTTATTTTCACCAGGTAAACCGACCAGTAAGTCGGCAATTTTCAACTTCCTGTTTTGATTTGGAAAGAGTACAGGGCATTGATAGAGTCCTTTACAAATGTAAGATGTCACTGGGGGGCTCGGTATGTCAATCCTAGATTACAGTGAAGAGTATACAGTATTTAAAGTATGTCTAACGCCCAATTTATTTTTCTTTTGAATAAAGTAAAAAACAGGAGAGGAATAGAATAAGATTGCAGTGTTGTTGCTAAAGCTTCATCCTGTACACAGATAACACTTATTGCTTATGATGCAAAATCAGAGTAGTAGCTACATTCCTCAGCCTACAGGCATAATCTGAACTAGGACTTCTACAGATGCCTCATGGAATATGCCAGACACATGAGCCTGAAAGGTTTCTCTAGGTAATAAATACACAGTTTTAATTAATTCTATGGAGATATCAAGAAAAAAGAGACAAGCATTCATGAGTCAGGTTCAGAGCAGCCCCCCTCCCTCAGGGCCATGGGTCCAGTAGCACTTGCTGCTTTCTCTACTCTTGTTGCTTCACCACTAAATTCAATACTGCTTTTGGCACGTTACAAGAGGAATATGTGTATCTGATCCTCGTAGCTGACAGGTAGCACTGCACTTCACTTTTATTCTTTTCTTTTTCTCTTATTTTAATTTGTAAAGGGTTGAAAGAGTGGCAGTTGCATGAGTGCTGACACAAAATTAAAAATGGATAACATGCTCTGTAGTCTTTACACAACTATTCCAACTAAAGGTCCCCACACACCTTACGATTATCGTACGATAAT